GCCTGGCGAAGTGGTCTGTAGTACCAGGTTGGTCGCTAGTCACGGTGGTCTTTAATTACAGGTCTGACTGTACTAGTAATCTATACGGAACAAAGAAGCTTGTCACGTGATCGACGCCTATACAGCTGTTAGTCCTAGTCAATGCTCACTACCCTCACCCCCCCCCCCCCTTCCCTCGCGTTCTGTTCGCAGGGCGCAATAAGGTCACACTCTTGCTGATAGAGGACCAAGTTCACAAACTATCGACACCGCGTCAATGCAGCATAGCTTCAAGGATGTTACACATTGCAGAATAAGGATCTACAGATATCCTATAAGAACGAACAATAATCACAGCATCCCAGAGTCCAGATCTCCAAACACAAAAAAAGTGTACAAGAGTGGTAGTGCCGCATTGGAATCACGCCTGATCGGGATTTTGTGCAATCAGATCCCGCATTCAGTGAATGTGCCCTTCTCGTGTTGACGACGCGAAACGTTGACATAAAGGAGGAGTGGTTAGAATGGTGAGGGAGTTGAGGAGTGGTTGATTACAATGTAGTATACATCCAACCTGAGATTGGAAACCACGATCTAGGATCGTTTCATGTACAAATGGGTACCGTAACACAGAATAGGACAGAAAGTGATAAACTCACCTTGATGTTAGTCCCCATTTCAATTCTGAACCCGATGTATGCCTGCGGGAGCTCCAATCTTGAGGCGATTACGACTTCAAGTGATTAGCAATAGGTTGATCTATTGCTTGAAGAGCGAAAGCGAGAGGCGAACGCCTCACGCCGTTTGCAGAGACAGTCTTGTACGTCTGATCTCGACCGTGAACGATCAAGAATCAGCGAGACAGAAGGAAAAAGCATGGTTATATGATGATGGTGGAGGCTGGAGGTTGAGATGGCCAAAAACGTGCAGCAATGCATTGGCAGATTGACGTCACACCATGCCAATGTTGACAGGTCAACGGATAGGTTGTGACCTAAATGTACTATTATCGGAAGAGGCGCCCCTGGGTATTCCCCCAAAAGGCCACCGCCAGCAACGCTCAAAATGCCAAAAACGTGAAACAGCATCCAGCGTTCAGCAGCAGTCAATTGTCCAGAGAAATGTACGTAGTAGACAGCGCGGATAATCAAAAGACGGCGCGGATTATTGTGCACAATCGCAGCTGTCAGTATAATATTGCGCCAATGCTGGAATCCGTCACCGGAAAAAAAGAAAAAAATGAAGGAGCAAAATGTAAGACTGGTGAAGGAGCACATGATAAACTGGAAGGCTGGTTAACCCTTTGAGGTGGCACTGAACGCGTGAAAATACGCAATTGCAGTTCACACCACCATTTCCACCATAACTTACGCTCTGTTTGCTTGATTTTGACAATCTAGGGCACGCTCTTTCCGCTGCCAAGAAAACGAGGCCACGCTGAACTTCGTGGATGCCACAAAGCCTGCTCCAGAGCGCAGCTAATCGCCATAGGTCGTTAACCCTTTGAGCAAATGTATATTATGCTATTCACTGGTTTGAGGGAAAGACTTACACGAGAAACAATGGAGGACACAATTGACTGTCACCACCAGGACTCGAACCAGGGATCCCCGCTTGTAGTACTTAGTAGTAGTAGTAGTAGTAGTAGTAGTAGTAGCAGTAGTAGTATTTATTTAACATCGAACAACTCAACAGCCTTGACATACAAATTCAAAGAGAGCCGGTGAGGCAAAACGGAAGAAGAAAAGTGAAAAGATGATGCTATACCCAATGTGAAGACCCAACTTGTAGCAAGCGATGCTCTAGCCACTGAGCTATGGTGTAGTCGTCATCCCAGTAGAGACCGTTCAACATTTTCTTCAGACTTTGTTGCAATGTATAGGCGGTGAAACTTCATGAACTGCCCTTCCATACTACCCTTACATATTGGCCTTCGATACCAGTCTTCGATGACACCATCATTATAATACTTCAGTATACTCAATGATGCAGACAGCCAGACTGTTTCGGCCAATGAGGCCTCATCAGTGCAACTCCGAGCTTAAAATAGGATTCAACTGTCAGCCATGGCTACTAGAACCACAGACATTAGGACAGCTCGATGTACTAGCGCTGAGAGTGCTCAAACTGCTAGAAGCAGCGGGCAAAGCATAAAGCTAACCAGCGCAAGTGCGTCCTATTAAGAGTGCTCTACAGTACAAGATCGAAATCGAGGAGCGAAATACTTCAGTATAATTATAGTATTGCTGCGCCGCCAACCAATCAACCGATACAAGCCTTCACTACACTGTAAAACATGTGACTAACGAACATCCCTTGGTGCCAGAGAGAGCGGTCTTTAGTGGCAGGTGGTTATTAGTTTAAAAAGGTTTGCACCGCATAACAATAATGATAATGAATGTGAGACCGTCTGTGCCTGGCGAAGTGGTCTGTAGTACCAGGCTGATCGCTAGTCACGGTGGTCTTTAGTTACTGCAATATCCTAGCCTTCAACATGTGCTACCAGATGTCCATGTACATGTACATGATTGTACCGCTTGTTTTCTTCTACTTCGAAGTCCTATGTATATCTCTCCTCATCCATGCCAGCCACTTCTGGAAATCTCAAACCTCAGTCGCTTACTTTCCCATGTACAACCATGTACAATGTATAAGCGCGTTCGGTATACATGTAATATTCGCTGGATCCGCGTCGGCATCGCTTGAATGTTCAGAAACACACAAACTGGCCTTCGCATCCGCAGGCCACACACTGCACTGTGCCTGTCAACCTTAGTGGCGAATGCAGACCTCACAAGTGATTCAGGGGAGAGGAGGTTAGTCTCTCAACCAATCGGGCGTGTAACGGCCCATAACCCTGTAAACTGCATCCTTGTTAAGCTGTGTTCACAACTGGCGCGTGTACGCGTGAAACCACGCGTTTGTGCGTATTTTTGCTGGCTTTTGGGGCGCCATGCGTACGGAAACGCGCCGAAATGGAACTTCCAACATGTTGGAATTTTCAGCGCGTATCAGGCGCGTATCAGCGTACATGCCAGTCACTTTGACTGGCGGGGTCAAAAAATTAGTACTCGAAGGTGTCGCACGAGCTAAATACAAATCGGATTGCTGTTTTTTGTGAAAGGCTGAGCGCGCGTTTGGGGGCGCATGAACCGCAAGCGTACCGCGTCCACGCGCCAGTTGTGAACACAGCTTTATTCTCACTCCGAGCTATGAGTACCCGTACCCAGTTGACCGTGGGTGTCGGCGCTGTTCAACACGCGTAAAATGTCGTTTTTACACGCTCCCTGCTACCAGCGCGGGTCTTGAACTCGGGACCTCATGATTCGCAGGCAGGCCTGCAAACCAATCGGCCACATGCGTTGGTTCAAATGCAACTTTTAAGAAAAGTAAAATACACCGTAAACACATCAGCCTCCGTGTGCACGTGGAAGAGTGATTTCATTTTTTGGAGTGGAAAAACGTTGGCATCATGTACATGTACATGTACATATAAATGCACACAATTATTTTCATTAAAAACGAGTTAAGAGTAACTCTCCACCACTGTAACTAGATACTATATACAGTCAGAAAGTGCAACAACTAGGCACACAACTGACAGAGTACTGAGACATTCGACGTCCTGACACCTAGCTTCAACACATCTGACTGTATATAGTGTAGGACTCAGTATAGAGTCCATGCACTATATGATGTCCAGCACCCTATATAGAGTCCATTGGTCCAAAATCCACTATACAGAGTCCAGGAGTCCACTCAGTTTTGATCAGCTTCATCCTGCCGCGCAATCCCCTATAAGGAGTACACTTTTTCTACAAGTCCCCTATTCACGGTCCAGGAGTCCAGTTTATCCAGTCACGCCGTCCTCGACGTCCTGTGTTATTGTGCCCGAAAGAGAACAAACAACTTTTCAGTTTTGCTTGCCTCGTGGCAGCGCATTCCTTTCTTCACTTCAGCCATGGCTGCCAGTTCTGCTGTGCAGTTGCTGACAGTAATCTGTCTCGAGGTAACCAAGGAGGATAAGGAGACGTTCAAAATCAAATCTGGAAAGCGTCTTGTGGTTCTCTGAAGACGTTTCATCAGTGCGCGGGATGAAAGCAGAAATTGCAGAACGAGAAAAGTTCAGCACAGTTCAAATCTGACGAATCAGGTACACTGACACTCTCTTTCGTCCGACACCACAAGGATCCCCTGTTTGGCTGGCCATTGCTGCCAGTAAGGCGTTTGAACGGTTTCATCAGAGCGAGGGATGAAAGCAGAAAGCGGAGAACGAGAAAAGTTCAGCACAATTCCAATCTGACGAGTCAGATACACTGACACTCTCTTTCGTTCGACGCCACAAGGATACCCTGTTTGACTGGACAAGAGCTGCCTGTACCACCGTGTCAAAAGGCTGTCCAACTACATGGCAGGACGATGACTGAGGTAAGGAAGCTTTTGCTCGTTTCGATTGGTCTGCTGTTCTGTCGTTATGCTTGACTTTTTTTTCCATTTTCAAGGATCGTATCGCGTTTGTTTATGTTGCTTGAATGAATGCCCTAAAAGTAATCAACCACTTCGTAATAGTCCTCAAGGACTGCAAGGACTTTGCATCAATTGTATACGATCGTCTAGCTATCATCAATTATTATTTTATTTCATGAGAAATGTATTTTTATCCCTGTGATAATTATGTGAACTCCACGACACTCGTCCTCTACTAGGCTCTAGTATGATGTCAAATACAATGGGATCCACAAACGCAGTGCCAGTGTGCTAGTAGTAGTAGTAGGAAGATTTCTTGTATGCTGATGACAAGAAAAAGCTTCTCAAGCTAATACATGTACTCGTATTCCATGAAGTAACCGTTTTGATGTCACAAACATGACATTGTGTCAGTGAAACTGCCTCGTGACAACAAATCAGTGCATTTCCATCTTGGGGAAGATTGACTGACGGCAACGCTGTACAGATTGTTCAAATCATCGAATTTCAATTTAGTTGCAGTGAAGTGAAACACTGTGTACACTACATGTATGGTGGTGTGTCTGTGCGTCTTGAGTGTGCACAAACGATCTTATTCCTCGTATTACTAATAGATTATTGTCCCCACCGTCACCTGTTCACAGGTCTTTGAGTGGATGGATTTTCATTGAGCATCACATTCGTTGAGAACTTGGTAGTTGTGTGCTCCCATGCATCATTACGGTAATAAGCGTATCCTTGTGTTATCTATTTGTTGCAGGTGTGCTGATCTTCAGAAGCTTGCGGAACTGAGTGCTGCTAAGCATTTGCATGGCCATGAGCAATGGTGAAGCTTGCTATTGCACTCTCAGCATGTGCTAGTAGTATGCTGACTACTGCACCATGTTGCTCTTAGTCTTACACTACTACATGTATGTAAACGTGCGTGCACCCGTCCACGTATGCATTCGTTTCGTATGATTATTTGTTATCCCTCTTGACTTTACGTGTAAATGGGTGGACGTTTGCATGGCTGTTGGAGTCGCGTGTGTATTGTGTCTCTACTCTTTTCTTGGTGTTTTCTTGGCATTGTATAAGTTTGTGTGTGTGTGTGTGTGTGTGTGTGTGTGCGCGCGCGCACAATAATTTGAAAACAAATAATTAATCCTTGGCTCTCCATTATTCTCTTTCGATTCTTGGGTTTTTTTTCTAGGTATTTTCTTGGCGTTGTGTGGGTGTGTGTGTGTGTGCGTGCACAATAATTTGGCAACACTACATGATTGAGATATTGTAATTTGCAGCGTCTGCAAAGAGACCACTTGATTTGAGGATGGTGTTTGTAGGGTTTTTCATGTAATGAAGTGGCTGCAGTGGCGCCTCAATACTTATATTTTATCTTGAGGAGTGA